TAGTAATCCAACGCGTAGTAACCCAGCGTGCGGATATCCAACGTGTAGTAATCCAGCGCGTGGATATTCAACGCGTAGTAATCCAACGCGCAGTAATGCAACGCGTGGTAATTCTACGCGTAGGAATCTAACGCGTGGTAATCTAACGCGTAGTTAATCAACGCGTAGTAATCCAACGCGTAATAATCCATCGCGTGGTAATCTAACGCGGACCAATCAGAGCGCGAGGATTACGCGCGCTCAGCCGCTAGGCTCGAAGCTGTCGCTCTCGCGCCTGCGCGTAATCTCGCGCTCTGATTGGTCCGCGTTTTTCCTTAATAATTCAGAAACGAAGCTTCGCACCCCATTTTTGCAAAGGGAAATCTTATTCAGAATCGCGTCAGCTATCATTTCAGGGACCTACACTAATTGTGAGACCCTATAATTGTTAAACTATGGCAAGACTTAAGTCTTTCCTCCCTTCCTTCATATGATCAATTGTGCACCTAACTCACATTGTCAAAAATCTGTATAAAGCTAGTTTGTGATGTACTTCTACTAAAACGTACTTAAATGTACTTGTACTAAAACGTACTTAAATGTACCTATACTAAAAGTACTCAAGCATACTAAATGAACTTGTACTCTCGATTTAATCGCAGGTGTATTTCTTTCAGTATCGTGTCATCTTATGACACACTCGCATAGCATCTTCCGTATGTCAGATGTTTTCGTTCGGCCTGCTGTTGCCTATCGCCTCGAGATACAATCTCTGGTGCTTCACCACCGAAACCAACCGTATACAATTGGTCTATATTAAACCGCATTACGTACACGGTTGTCTAGGTGGGTGTGTATTGAAACGCGACCTTTAAGGCAAGTGTTGGTGCACCAACCTCGCTGATACAACTAGCTTGCTGTAACCTATATTGATTTCGAATATTCGATATCGCGTGCCGACACTCGACGCAACGATGCGATCCGTCGAGGACGATGCATCTTCATTTCAGAATGCACCATATACTTTCTTCGCGGTCATTTTGTTCGAACTTTAGGGAACTTTGGTTTACGGATATTGTGACGGATGGAGAATGGTATGATGAATTTTATTCGTGGATGAATGTTGAAGTAATGATTGATCAAAAGGAGAAAGTCAAAGTTGGGAAAAATATTCTCATTTTACTTATTTTATATTAAATATAAATTATTCCATTTTATTTAAACTTTTAGTCATTTTCTAAATATTCAACCTTTCTGTAATTTTCTTCATATTCAGTTTCTTAAATAATTCTCTTAGTATAAAATCCTGTAATAATTTTCTTAATATTTGACTTTTTTAATAAGTCTCTTAATACTCAATATTTTTAATAATTCTCTCAATATGCAAGTTTATAATAATTTTCTTAATACTTCATTTTTAATCATTTCCTCAATATTAGATCTAAAATTATTCTCTTGATATTTGACTTCGTTAACAATTCTCTTCACAATCCCTCTTCTTAATAAACCTCTCAATACTCAATTTTTAAACAATTCTCAGAACAATCTTTCTCAATAATTTTCCCAATAACATGCAATACAGTCCGCAATAGAATCAAGCAATAATCGATTGTCCATTGTGCTGTTACAGGATCAAGTGCACACAAAAACGACGCAACCGGAAATGGAAGACCGGCACCCCTGTTGGCAGAACCGAGATACGGCGCCGCACCCCAACCGTACGGTAAGTCTCTCCCTATTTTCCTCTCGTTCTCTGCTCGATTTTCTCTTTGATAGTGAAATTAAGCGGAGCAATTGGGAAGAGAACGGATGGCCCAATGGAGATGGTTACAGATTTTTCCTCGAGTGCTGGTGCGAAAAGCTGCCCTCCTCTAATTGCACCGCCAGACGATGCAGTTTTCGAACAACGATTTACCTTTTATCGTCGTGAATTATTCATGAGACGATTATTACCTTAATTCCCATGTTCCGCAAGCTAAATTGTCATAATTATTTTTTTTATGAGAAAATTGATAATTTTAGATTGTTAACTCAACATGTTCGTAGGTGGACATTATTCTTGTATGAAGCTCAAAACAGTATATTTAAAATTATGAACATATATGAATAATTATGTCAAATCATTATTTTTAAGAATTACATGTAGCAACTCTTTTAAACAATTTTTAATATAATTATATCAAATCAGTATATTTAAGAATTACATGTAGCAACTCTTTTAAAAAATTTTGATATAACAAAATTATTGTACGAGCAGTTAATTTTTGTTTCTAATTAAATTTCACTTCTTGTCAAAAAAATAAAGTGACTCAAAAAATAAAAATTACTATCAACAAAATAAAAATGACTGTCAAAAAATAGAACTGACTATCAGCAAAATAAAAATTACTGTCAAAAAATAGAACTGACTATCAATAAAATAAAAATGACTGTCAAAAAATAAGAATGACTATCAACAAAATAAAAATGACTGTCAAAAAATAAAAATAACTATCAACAAAATAAAAATTACTGTCAAAAAATAGAACTGACTATCAATAAAATAAAAATAACTGTCAAAAAATAGAACTGACTATCAACAAAATAAAAATGACTGTCAAAAAATAAGAATGACTATCAACAAAATAAAAATGACTGTCAAAAAATAAGAAATGACTGTCAAAAAATAAAAATGACTGTCAAAAAATAGAACTGACTATCAATAAAATAAAAATGACTGTCAAAAAATAAAAATGACTGTGAAAGAATGAAAATGATTTTCATTTCTGGTGAACGTAACAAGACCCGTTGACAGAAGCGCACATTTCCGTTTCGTTCGCGGAAGTTATTAACCGTAAGTTGCGTCGGGGCTAACAAGACCGTGGGAATTTTGACAGGAAATCGATATCGTAATTGTAGCGAAGTTACGTCGAGCTCTCGGAACTAAAACTATAGACGAAACCCAATCTCAGAGTTCACGACGTTTAAAGAATAGCAGCCAATACGGAACCTCGATAACGAAGTGGTCTTGATCGATAGCTAACCCGTTGCTAACGACGATTATATCAATTTCGTACTGAATCAAAGTATCAAAGCTCCGGAATGTCCGTCGCAAGCCTTTGGTACTCGATGTCGAACGAGTCGCTTTGGAACATTGGAAGATGTTTTTGAATATGTTCTTTAAAAAATAAATTGCATATTACTCTGAAAATATATAACTTCACAATAGTTAGTTCTTTCAATTTAAAAAAATGAATTTGAATAAAGAAGATAAATATAACAATGTTAAACGTTCAGTTAACTAAAGTTCAGGACAGAGTTAGCCCCAGAAGTTCTTCACAAGATAATTCAAATAAAAGAATAACACGAAAATTTTGAATTTGAACCCTTACCAAAATAATATCAAAATTCTCCACATAACTGCACAAAAATGACAGATATAACTAATTAAAAATTTTAATTGTGAAGAGATAGCCCGTTAAAGAGCATACCGATAAATATTTCGCAGCATGATTAATAAGGGCGCAACTGCTCGATCCATAATTAGTTGGCCATAGGCCGCGAATAAAATCCCCAATGCACAGAAGGACACCGTACATCCTCTCCGTTCCTCTTGATTCCAGGATCCACGCCACAGGTAACTTTTCCCCCGGGTGCTGGCCACGATCGTTACGAGGAGAATTTCAATGGGCCAGCAACGTATGCGGAGCCATACGTCGAGCGTTATGGTATTAAGAGTGATTTTAGCGGTCGAGAGCCTTTGCATCCCACACCACCTCGGCCTAATTACGTACCCACCTTGGGACAAACACCACCTTCCAGTACACAGGGCTCTGTGATGATGGTTTACGGGTTACAGCCGGACAAAGTCAACACCGATAAACTGTTCAACTTGTTCTGCCTCTATGGGAATGTTACGAAGGTATGTATCATTTTATTCTTTCTATCATGGACGTATCTAGACATTTAGCCTTTGAATCATATTATATCTAAATATCACGAAGAAATTTAGTTCCACGCCCCCAAATTCCCACGCCCCCAAATTCC